GGGGGGGGGGGAAGGGAAGGGATGGATTTAACCAATAGGTCCAATACCTTTCTCGGGCTTTTTGGTAAATACTGTAAGATCAAACTGTAGTATCTGTTCTGATCAGTTTTAATAAGAGTTAGTGAATATGTGAGTAAATTCAGAGCAAATTATTTAAGAATAAAAAATGAATCAATAAGGTAAATGGAAATATATATATACATAATGCATATATATATATATTATTATATTATATATATATCGTCACAAACAGAAGTGCCCGGTAAGCCGTATAGCAGTACCGGTAAAGCCGTCGCGTAAACGAGTGATATGTGGGATAGTCGGCAATTTACTGGAAAAGAAATGGACGGCATTTCAAAGAAGGAAAAAAAAAAAAAAAAAAAGGGAAAAAAAAAAAAAACGATGGCAGAAGAAAGGAGGAACGGACACGTGGAGGCGCTCGATGGTGTCTACGTCTTACATCGTTCCTAGAGTCTGAGTCTCAAATCAGTCCAGCCGCCAGCGGCCCTCTTTTACTGGTCGCAGTGTCAGCCAAATTGGTGGTCGACCATCCCACGGCCCACAGCTCTTGACCTCCATCCAGTCTCTTTTACGGTCCAGATGCAGAAGGATAAGGGGGAGGAGTAGCAAGAGGAGGAGTAGCAAGAGGAGGAGTAGCAAGAGGAGGAGAAGGAAGAGGAGAAGAAGGAAGAGGAGAAGGAGGAAGAGTCTGAGGAGGAGAAGGGGGAGGCAGATATGCACGGGAACCCGAATGATGCACGGGGAGATTAGTTAAGAAGACTTCCGATTGCTTCAGCCAACAACAAACCTCTTCTTCTCACTTCAAAGGACTCCACTGTCACAGTTTTGAAAGGAGGAACAAGAGGAGGAGGAGGAGGAGGAGGAGGAGGAGGAGGGAGAGGAGGAGGATATGCAGGAGGGGAAAGAGGTGTGGTTGCTACTCCGTATGGTAACACGGCGTTGGCGATTCGGCGGCCATGTGGAGGATTGACAGGATGTGGGCTAAAGCCCGGCGGGCCATCGAGATTCGAGAGACTACGCTGCGTTCGGGCTGTCCCTCAGCCACACGCTCATTCCGCCTCGACGTCGCTCGAACCAGCGCCATCCGAGAGCGCCAAGGATGGCGGGCGCATTTCTCAGCATCCCTGCGCAAATCTCTCTACCTTCCACCCTTTCCTTTTGCCTTCTCTCTCTCTCTCTCTCTCTCTCTCTCTCTCTCTCTCTCTCTCTCTCTCTCTCT